TGTTTTTAAAAGATTTCAAAATGTCGGCCCTCATTTGCAAAACATTTAAATTCAAGTTCTGAAACGATGAAGAAGCTGATTTTACTGGCAAATTGCAGCTAAAATGTTTTTATTTTGTGCACACATCTGAATGGAAATTTTATATATATTTTTTTTTTTGCTCTAGTGGCCTTTATTTGATAGTTAATTGACAGGAAAGTGGGTAATGAGAGAAGGGGAAGACATGCAGCAAAGGTCACCATGTCGGGAATCGAACGTGCGACAGCTGCGTCGAGGACTAAGGCCTCCATATGTGGGTTGTGCTTAAAACCCCTTCGCCACCACATCACACCCCCAATTGTGTCGTTTTATTAAACCACAGAGATATTTCCCCACACACAGCATCGCTCCTCTTCCTCTTTCCTGCATGGAAAAGGCATTCCCAAAAACGGTTTCCTCTACAGTCCGGATAATAAACGGAGACACTCAGCAGCTCTTTCTGCAACAGAAACGAGCCAAAACACACCCAAAAACAAAAAGGTGAAATGTTTCGTTATGCAACAGCCTTTCAGTGCAAAAAAAAAAAACAGAAAACAAAAAGCAGTCCCTCTTTCCTCACTACAGTTCGCTGGTATCGGGTTTTTAACGTTTGTCTCATGATGTTAATGTATATAACAGAAATGTGAATGCATATTTGTTCAGAATCAACAGAAAAACAACTAGCTCCGAGTTTGTGGTAAATAACTACTCGCCTCTGTCATGTTTTTATTTTTCTACCTTCTTATTTTTGTTTTAAAGATGATGTATGTTTGTACATGAAGAGTGTGTGTGTGTGTGTGTGTGTGTGTGTGTGTGTGTGTGTGTGTGTGTGTGTGTGTGTAAGCGATTAATACTGTATATCTGGTGTTCTCTGAGATGGAAACAGACGAAGATGTCATGTTCGGTTTCTCTTTTTGACTCTTTCAGACCCTGCACAGTTACCTGTGGGTGTTTTATTCAGATAAACTATGCCAGAGAATGGTTTGTTTTTATTTTTTAAAGCGACTGCTGAATGTGATTTTATTGAGAGAAAGAGAGAGAGAGAGAAAGAGAGAGAGAGAGAAGCGGTGTGGACTGGCTTTTTGTACGGGTTAATTTAAAAGAAAAAAGGCCATATTATTTAATTTTCTCTGTTGATAGAAGGTTTAAGCAGAGCTGGGAGAGTGGAGCCTTGGTTTTCAGGGGAAGCGTTGAGTTTCTGACTGATCCGTTTGGGTATTTTTATCATTTTCTGCCTCCGTCAGTAGTAAAAAAAAAAAAAAATGACCAAAGCTTCAACGCGTTTGATGGATTTCATATGCAAACCTCATCGTCACTGGACAACACATAATGTAGCGGCTCTTCTTCGTTTCCGGTTCTTCTGCATGCTCGTTTCCGTCTTTTCAGAGTGGCCTATCAGCGTTGAAACCCTGTGATGTCCCAAAGTTTGCTCAGTTTAGACTCTGCCAATGCCGTCTTTTTGAGCCCGAAGTGCTATCACGTGTTTACAGGAAAAAAAATAAACATTGCAACCATTAGCTATGCACCTTACCTAAACAAGCATTTCCTCATTTGTAATGTAGAAGTTACACTGGAGCAACACTAAGCCATTCATTTAAAGAAGAAAACAAACCCGTGTTTGATGACCTATCAGCTTTCAGTCTCATTCTTCAACCGAATACTTTATACCAAACTTGAGGTGCCTCGTGTATATATTTGCTGATTAACAATAACCTTGTTAACCAGGTTTTTTTTTAAATGAGAAAAAAAAAAACATTTTTACTGTATAAATGACTTTTTTTTACACATGTAGATTAATCAGATTATCCCAGGAACTTGCAAATACAATCTAATTCTGCACTTTATATATCCGGATCCGCTCGGGGTGAAAAAGGCCATTAAAATCAGATTAGCATTCGGAGATAAAGTGGCTCCTGAAAGTCTACAAAACTCAGCTAAAATATAAAGTTTGACATTTAGATCAAGATAAATAATTTCAAAACTTTTTTCCACTTCTGTTGTGTCAAATGTTTTGTATTCATCTGAAAAACAAACAAAATATTTAAAAAGCTGTATTGTTTACACATCCTAAATCAGTAGTGTTCTGTTTATTAGCATCTTGAGAAGTTTTCTAAGTCTCTCTGAAGTCAAAACATATTTTCATTTATACCGTGTAAATTTTTAATTACCTTTTTCTGTATTATATGTTTGTGCAATGAGGCTTCTGGGTTAACGTGCTAATAGCAGAGCTACATTTTTGCATACAGCCATCAATATCGGCTTCTGCGACAGTTCCAAAATTATTTTAGATGTCAGTTTTAATTCATACAAATGTCTAATTTGAACTATTAACGTAGGAGGTTATAATTGGGGGCATTTGTGTTCTAATTATCATGCTTTTATTTTTAAGTGGAGAAGATTATTTACGGAGCAGTTCAGTTTTCTCCGGTAACCTTTTTTTTTCTCACGTTCTCCACCCGCGATAGTGACGCTTATTTTATCCCCAGAATGCATTGCTGTACCGAACCCCTGCCGTGGTTAATTAGCCAAAATTAGCAACAGAGTTAATCAACGACTATTAGATGAAACAAGAGAAAATCTTTTCCAAATAATCATTACCTGAAGCATAACCATGTAGACAGGTGTACAACAACAATTTTTACCTGCCGAGATCGATATAATGTGTAATTTTTACATGGAGTGGTTGAATTTAGACCGTTAGCTAAATGCCATTTTGGAATAGTGCTTCAGCGTTAGCTCTACTGACATTTTGGATAAGGGGTTTTTACCACTGGAGACTTTCTGTCGTATTTTGTGCATTTAGCTCTAGCTATCGTTTCTTTCTGGTTAATCAGATTTATTTAAAAATTCATGTTAACTGTTTCCAGAACATGAATGCTCAAAACTTTTGAGACTTTTTGAAATTAAAGTTTCAAAAGTTGTGCAACAAGGTTGTTTTACACAAACGAACCTGTTTTTGTTTGGTCTGTTTGTTTTTCAGTTGAATTAAGCAGAAAATCTGTTGAAATAATTTTAAAAAGCCCCATTTTCAGTGGGTTTTGTAGACTTTTGAGAACTGCTTTTTGGTAAAAATTTAAGTTCAGGTGAACTGGAGCCATTTTGGGGAAAACAAAATCGAGCTAAAAATTGTACACAGCAGCTGCTTTCTCTGTGGGTTTATCGTAACAACTATGCTGTTCTTCTTCAGGTGACATCCTCTCCCTCCTTTCTGCACTGTTGAACTCTTAATATCCTCCTTTCTGGCTTGAACTCTGAACATTCCTGCTCCCGGCCGTTTTCTGCAGCAGCGTTTGCTTTCCTCTCTCTCTCTCTTTCTCTCTCTCTATGTCAGTGGGAAGTGTGAGACCTTACCTCTTACCTGTCCAAACGATTGTGCACTGATGTAAATGACAACGCACCACTCGTGTCGCTTGTCTTCTCTGTTTTTGCTTGTGTTTTATTGGGAGTCCTTGCAGCGGTTTTTTAGTTTTATTTTTTAAAGTTGTTGAACAACCGGGATTTCCTTCCAGCTCATTCCTAATGCAGGTTTTCGAAGCTATTCTCACCACGGCGTCAGTTGTCGAGTATTATACGTGCTGCCTTAAGCGAAGGTTTAGTTTTTTCTCACCACTTTTGTTTCTCTGGGTGGATATTTTAAGAGAAGAGACCAAGGTTCCACTTCCTCCCTTGTAAAAAATTAATATAAATAGATATATAAATATATAGACAAATATATAATATACATTTTACTCATTTCTTTGTCCAGTTTTGTATATAGAACTCATGTAAAGTTTGTTTTTAAAGAGGCATCAGAGCAGCTATTACAAGACAATATGAGTGACAGTGTTCACCTGGGAGAATTTTATGCATGTTATGTTTTCTTTTTCTCTCTCGGAGTCTTTTAAAAACCCTCAGACCCTCCCGCTCTCTCTCGTTCAGGTGTGTAACGTGAAAATAAAATAAATCTACCTTTTTCTTTGAGAATGTTGTAGACAATCAGTCTCAGGCCGGGTCCAGTCCCAGAGGGGAGTGAGAGCCCTGGAGGCTATAAGACAAACGAAACTCTTATTTTTCTTTATTTTTTGTTTGTTTGGTTTGGTTTTCGTCTACTGGAAGTCCAAACTCGGAGGTTTGTTCATTCATATGTTCGTGGCTGCTCTCAAGTTTACACAGAAACACACACACACCGACACACACTTCTCGACTACACTCAAAACACAAACACCTCGTGCATTTGGTCCCTCTGCTTTTTGTTTCCAAGGTGAGGATGCCAACCTTGTGGAAATGATGCTTTGACTAACAAATCTATAACATCTTTGAATGTGGGAATGCAACACATTGCAATAAAAGCACCATCTGAAATGCAACACGTTGGTCTCCTGGTGTTCCTTATGATGTTAATGCTGCCTCTGCGAAAAACCTCAGCTTGCGTCATCGGTGACGACGTTCTTTCACAGTCTGGAGTTTGATTTTTTTTCCAGGTTCGGACTGGTAAAATATTTAATATTGGTGTCCAAACCTTTTGCTGTGTGGGCCAAAGTCGCTAGGTTGGAAGCACTTTGTCACAAAAATAATGTTTTTTTAAATAAAAAAAAAATTTCAGTGCTGCTTCCAAGAATCTTAATGGAAAGTTAAGTGGAAGGACAAAAAATTGGTAGAAAATATTAAAATAGAGGTAAGCACCTATTAGAAGGTGTTGTTTTGGACTCGACTTAAATTTAAAATTCATATAAATGATAGATTTTGTTGGGTATGTAACATATTAACCTCTCAAGTCTTTATGGACTTTTTTTTAATGATTGTTTCCAGTAGCAGAACTAAGCAACTAAATTAAAACCTAAAAATTAAAACATTGTCTGCTGCAGATTACTAAGATATTTATTTAAAATTCGATGTTAGATGTATTTTGTGCATTTCTTGTCTTTAATGCATATTTATTTACCTCTTTCCTTTGTTTACCCGTAAGCCCTTCAAATTACCTGTTATGTCAATTACAAAATGCTCAAATTAACACATTTATTACTTAAACTTACACAAACAGTATAAATTTAATTACATCTACAGTGGAGTAAAAACATAGTTTATTGTAAGAAGGCTGTTGGTTTTTGAGCAGATAGTTAAAAATACACATACATTTACAGAAATAACATTAAAACCTATCAATTTAACTAAAAGACATTTTTATTTAATGTTTTTAAAGAGGACATAATGTGCAAAATTCACTAAAAGAAAACCCACAAACGCTTAAGAAAAATAAAAATCTGCAATAAGTTGATGCTTTTTTGTCTTAAAAATAGTACATTTCAAAAACTTTCCACCGTGCTACATGGTTGCCTAGCAACCCCCACAGAGCCCAGCCTGTTACCTAGCAACCCAGGAGGAGCTACAAAATGTTTGCTCATACATAGACTTATCCTAACCTGTTCAAGGGTTCACCTTTAAAAGATTAAAAACATTAAAAATCAGTTTGTGATGTCAGTTTCTGCTTTTAACTTAATGTTAAATTTTATATTCTGACATTTGATCTGGTTTTATCAGTGCAAAAAAAGTCCAGAAAACCAACAAGAGGACGTCTATTTAAGAAAAAGTAAAGGCTTTCTACCTTTTTACTGTTATTTTACTTTTTTTCAGTTTCAGTTGCAGGAGTTCTGGATTAGCAGTCAAGAAGGAAACAATAAAATGTCAACACGTCTACATCCAAGTCTGACTAATGATGCCCGCTTCATCTGCTTTGTTTTTGGGAATCTCATAGGCGGCCTGTTCAATGGGCTCGGTAGGATTCTTGTACTCGTAATACTCCACGATGGGGTAGGTGATCATGCTTATCACCAGAACAGCCAGCACGATGTACAGTTTATACTCCACGCACAGGAAGGTGCTGTAGGCGAAGGCGATGACAAAACCAAGCGACTCCCACATGCGGTAGTTGGCGAAAGCAGCCTCTTTGTCCCGCGGGAAGAGGACACCATAAAGAGCTGCAACAGAACAGGTGACAGGTCAATTTGAAGGTAAACTCAGCTGTTTTTATTGTTAATCTTGTGCACATGCAGTTGAAACCAGTTTTGTAGAAGTATGGTTAATCCTTGGGAACAATTTCCAGATGCTTAAAGGCGCCGCATTCATTAGTTCAAACATTTACATGCAAATCTAGATGTGATGTAAATGTCCAACCATCATACTGTCCAAGAAGGAGACGGGTTTTTATCAGAAATATGCAGATTGACCCCAGAACTAGAAACCTTGTGAAGAATCTGGCTAAAGTTGGTAAGACAGTGTCAATATCCAAATTAAAACTTGTCATGTACCAATATGGGCTGAAAAGCCGCTCCGCCAGGAAGAAGCCATGACTCCAAATGTTCAAATGTCCACAGGGACAAAAATCTTCATCTTTGGGAACATGTCCTGTGGTCTAATGATAATAAAGTGCAACTGTTTGGGCTTAATGACCATTTGGAGGAAAAACCGGGATGCTTGATGTATGTTGGTGGAAGTATCATGTTGTGAGGCTGCTTTGCTGCAGGAGGAACTGGTGCACATCACAATATGGATGGCATCATGAGGAAAAAACATTGTGTAGAAATATTGAAGCAACTACTGAAGACATCACCCAGTTTATAGGGCAAGATTTTTGTAAAATGTTTATCAGTAAAATTGAAAATTAGTTCCTGTAAAAGATCTTTCAGATTTCTACATGAGCAGTAAATGTCATTTAGGTACCAACCAGGACAAGTTACAGCAGTTGAATCTGAAACCATAATTAGTTCTGAACAAAACAAAAGGTAGAAAACAACAAATATCATCGGGTCAAACTGCTTCTAGGTTCTTTCCAGATGTTCTTCCTGCTTTCTGAACATGAAAGCATCAAAGCAGAGGTTTTAGGGTTTTCTTACCATTAGTCTGAGTTTGCCAGATAGCGTCCGCCATACCCCACAGAGCGGTAAAAACGAAAAACACAGGCAACTGGTCAGGATGAGGCTTCCAGATCAGGAGGGCGATGATGCAGGCCAAGTTGGTCGCAGCGGCTGAAAACAGAAGATTCCTCTGGTTACAAACATCTATGGCTACCGAGCTTTTACCATTGGCAGCACTACTTCAACATATTTTATTCAAATAAAAGACGAAATGAAACGTTTGTATTTTATTTAGTGGGTAGAAAATGCAGGATTTTTACTCAGTTAGCGAGACGTCATAATAAAATTACTCAGATAAAATGTACAGCGTAGTAAAAATACTCCTAAGAGTTTTTTTCCTCCAAAAAGTTACTTAAGTAAATGTAATTAAGTAAATGTAAGTAGTTACTTCCCAACTCTGTCTATAACCGGCTTTTTCACCGCAGTCTGATCAGCACAATTCCGATCTTTTCACTAAATAAAATAAAATAAAAAACAAAAAAATCCGACCTGTGCCACTTCCATATGTGGTGCTAAATCAGCACTCATTACTGAATAAACATTTAAAATTATCTATAAACTGTTTAATCCATTATCACTTCCGTAAACAATGCGCTTCTGTGTGACGTGAATGTTCATCTTCTGCGCATGCGTGTCGCTTTGTGCAGAAGCATCATTAGCTAGCAGCAAGAACGACCACGCAAAAGAACAAAGAATACATCGGGCCTAAACCTCAAGACATGCTGTATGAACGTATCTTTACATAAACAGTTTACATATAAGAAAATGAGTTTTTACCAAAGAAGAAGAGGGCGGCCCTTCCGGTATAGCGGGCGATTCTCCCGAACAGGAAGGAGCAGAGCGAATTAGCCGCTCCGAAGCACATCATCACGTAGCCGACATAGTGGATCCCCAAAGCGCAAGTTACGTAGTTCTGAGAAGAGAGGCAGCAAAATGGGTTCACGTCTCGCAGGTGGTTGATGAAACGTCAACAAACTCAAAATGGCAGCAGATAGTTGCAATGTTTTTGTAAGATATTCCTACTTTTTTCGCTTCGAAGCGAAGGCATCTGAGTAAACCTCCAAAAGTATTTATACCTTTATGGGTTTAATATTCTCACTTTACAACCCTAAACTTTACTGTATTTTGGGGGGATTTTATGCGATGTTATTCTGGACTGGAAGAACAAGATGCAACATTCTTTAAAAATCTTTTTAATAATAAAAATCTGAGACTTAGAATTACATTTGTAATGTTAAAGGGGATCTATGATACAAAATTAGTATTTTGCACCTTTTTGTACTTCCATTTGGGTCTCGGCTGCTCCTAAAGACAGTTCAAAGGTTTAAAAAAGGACACCATGCTGTTTTTTTGGCAATAAGTTAATGCTGTTTGCTGACTGAAAGATGAACCATTTCAAAAACCCATAATTGTGAGTCACATTTGAGCAGTGGACCATAATGTAGCAACACCAGTGAATCTAAGTAATGATGCTCTCTCGTTCTAGCACCAACTTGATTTTTGTTTTTTCTTTTTTTTGACGTGTCCTTACTTTGGTGTACTCCCCGGAGAGGAAGCTCTGCTCGAAGCCGCTGTACATGGTGAGTGGGATGAGCGTCAGGAGCCTCCAGTCCTTCAGCAGCCTGAACGTGGCCAGGAACGTGTGGCAGAACGGTTCCCGGTTCCCCCGAAACTGGCTGGTCTGCTCGTGGTCGATGTTGTCCAGAAATATCGATATGATGAGTATCGCTATAATGCCAACACCTACGAGAAAAACATCTCGTCAACTGAGATTTAAGACTCCATTATGAATGGGATTTAAGACCTATTTCTCAAAAGAAATGTAGGAATTTTGCCCGTGTAAATTTGCGCTGACATGTTATACGCAAAAAACGCTAGCTACCTAGCTAGCAAGTGCATGTTAGCATATGCTGCGTTCCATTTACAGCGGAAGCTGTAGGTGGATTTCACGTAAGCCTCAAGGTAAAAGTGTTGAAGTTAAGAAGTCAGAATTTTAACATGGCGAAGCACAAAATTAGGGAAAAAGATTAGGACCACTGGGAAAACCATTATTTTTCCTCATAAATTATTTTTTTTCTCAGAATTCTAACTTTATTTTCAGAATTAACTTTTTTCTCAGAATCATGGCTTTTTCTCTTTTTTCAGTGACTAATCATTTTCCATAGACATTCTTTGCAGTAGCTCTTAGAATAATTGTAAGCATTACTTTCCGTAATAAAACACCATTTTAAATTTTTGTTTGAGGCTCTATATGTGCCATTAATGTTAGACTCACCCTTACGTGTGTTTTGTAAAATAATCACGTTTCCACCACATCTGGCTACTGTTGATGCAAGAGCGGCCATTTTGAAACTAGATTTATACTTGGTATAGTCGGAGTTGCTTCCAAATTCCCAGTTGATTTTACTGACTGGGAAGCTGAAGATTCCCAGTTCTAAGTACAACTGAAATGCAACAACAAAACAAAATGAAGATGTCTATGTGTGACTCTAACTTTTGCATGACAGAAAAGTCAAACAAGAAAAAGTCCTAAGACTAAAAATCTAAGTATTTAAGGCCAACTTACTTTTTTAAAAGAATTTTGGACAATTTAAGACCTTTTCTAGGATGCATGGACACCCCTTCATTTTTTCTAGTCAAACTGCAACCAAAGGTGTTTTGTGAGGAAGAACAAAACTCTGAAATTACCAATGTAGCACCCAAGAAGCGTCCATATCAGCTTCTGTGCAGGTCTGCTGGAGGTGGTACCATTGGTACTGTTGCTATTGGTTTCAAGAGTGATTCCACAACCATGTGCTCCACAGGTGCTTAGGATATCCTCTGGAATGTTAGCTGGAAGAAATAAACACATGCAAATGTTAAATACACCAAGAAAATAGAGAAAGCAAAACCTGCAGAGATGTTGGTTTCCACTGCTTTTTAGGGTTCATCTAAGGGGAAATGTTGTCTTTGTGAGTCTTTGTCTATTTTTCCACTTGTGTTTTAAGGTGATGGCGTGGCATTTAAAGGTGTTTTTCTTTCTTTTTTTGTTTGGTTTGACAATTTTCCAAGGTCATGTAACATGACCTTGGAAATTTATTCCATGGTCAATTTGCAAAGTTGAATCTAATCTATCAGAACAGGAAGAAAATAAAACAAGAATGTCCTTTCTGGAGAAACCCATCAGTTAATCATTTATAAACTGATAAGAAAACATTTAAACCATGATGGTAACTTCGTGTGTGCGCCATGCAGTGACCTTCAAGAAACATATGTTGCTGCCAAATAACCTGGGAAGAAGTGTTATGAGGTTGTTGGCATCAGAGGGAAACTACTAAAATGAATATAGTTATTGTCAACAGTCAGAAATTATAAACAGCCAAGAGCAGTGGTGGGCACTGCTAGCTAAAAAGTTAGCAGTGCTTTAGGGTTAGTTGCTCTAACCCCAAAACTATTAATTATAAACATTAGTTCTGCTAATGCTAGAGCGCTACACCTACACAGTATTTAGGAAAAGCTAATGCTAGAGCGCTACACTAACGCAGTATTTAGCAGAAGCTAATGTTAAAGTGTAATCTCAGCTTGTTTGTAAGCCTCTAACTTGACTAATATGGCTGACATTAAGCTTTACTGGATCGTCTGCTTACCGATGTTGCTGTCCTGCCCAAAGATCAGCGACGACATCAGGTTTCCCCAAACTGCAGATGACTGGAAGATGAAGAAGAAGATCCCAAAGTAGTGGTTGACCACATCAGCACCCTTCTTATTGTCCTTGGCAGCTTGCACATTCCCACTGATGGTCAGGTAGGTGCATTTAGCCGACCACAGAGGGGAGCCGCCCAGACCCAGGATGAAGGAGGTTGGGATGAGGGTGTACCTGCAGATAGCACCTTAATTTATCCACATGTTGGGAATTTTGACTTTTATTTTTCTGAAAAATGCTAAATTATGCTTTCACTTTGAATTCAGAAGTTTGAGTACACAATAAGAAAGCACCTAGTTTGGTCCATTGATGTGTATGCCACTGATTAAATGATTCAAATTATCATAAGTGCGAATAATTAGTTAAGTGCATTGTTGTTATATGCTAACAGAGAAGCTAACATCTACAGGGATCGATCCATAATATCGATACCAAGTCGATATTTGTGTTGGATTGATACCATCTTGAAATGTTGTATTTTTATTTATAACATTATTACTATTATTCTCTTTTTCTGTTTNTGTCATTTTTCAAATCTACCTCAAAAACAATTTTGGATTTCACTTTAAAGAGGATGTGTGAAATGTTAAATTGATTTTTTTTTTAGCTTTATTTTATGTTTCAAGCCATTAAATTGCAAAGTTACATTTATTTAAAATCATGTTTGATAAATGTAGCATTTTTATAACAACTGAGCATGGTTACTTGATTGTGCTATAAAATTACATGATTTTTTAAAATTGTTTTTATTTCCTTTATTTAACCAGGTAAACTGTGTTGAGATCTAGATCTCATTTTCAAGAGGGATCTGGACAATGTGCCTGGAAAACACATAGCAGCGCCTCTTTAAAGGTAATTTTATGCCTTTTTCTAAATTCCCTCAGATTTATTTAATTTTTCTGTTGTTTCTGTCTGCAATGTGATTATAATTAGCATATTTTATAGATTTAAACAAAATAATTTGAGGAAAAAGCCCACAAAAACACCTAAAAGTGAATTTTTTTGAGTTTCTAATTATTGAGTTAAATCATATTATATATAAAAATAATCTTTGTGCAGAATAAACTTCACTGGGTTAGAGGTGCAGCTCAGCTAGGGGAAAGTTGTGCAGAAGGAAGATCTCACCTGCTAAAACGACAGTATTTAGTCTTTTTTTGATTAAACAAACTGATATTTAATGGCACAATGAGCTGAAGTTAGTTTAGATTCCCAACAATAGAAGAAAAAAAAACAGCCTTGTTAAGGTCAAAGTACATAGAAAACATTACAGGCTCATTTTAGGCGTTTCTGCACAAAACTGAGTGACAAATCATGAGCAACAACTTGTAATGCACTAAAATTATCCTGCACTGCAAAAACTCAAACTCTCACCAAGTGTTTTAGTTTAGTTTCTAGGGCAAATATATTAGTACATTGATAAAAAAGTTTATTTATAAAATGGGAAAAATGTCTTGTTTAAAGTGAAATAATCTGCCAAGAACTTTTCCA